ACATACTGTATTTTTATTTATTTAGCTGCATGCCAAGGTCTTATTTGATTTACACTACTAGTAAAAGGACGTTTAAAACATACTTTCAAAATGTTAGCTGAATAACAGTCCTTAAATATTTTTAGATTTTATTTCCTAAGCATGTGTGTATTGACTGCATGTGTGTACGTGTACCACATGCATGCCTGGACGTGGAGTTACTGATTGATGGTTTTGCAATATCATGTGGGTGTTGGGAATTGAACCTGGGATCTCTGCAAGAGGACCTTGTACTCTAAACCACTGAGCCATTTCTCTAGACCCAAAATAAAAGTCTAAATTCAAAAATTTGAAATGTGAGAATTGTTGAACACCCTTTGTTATTGATTCTGTGATGAGCCAAGGCTGACTGTTACACTGTTCTCTTAAATGCAAGTTAAATCAACAGGCTGAGCACACAGAAGAAAAGCCGTCCTATGTCCTAAGTGACCTTGAGGTGCATTATTATCTTTGACAGACAGGTCCAGCACAAGTTCCAGTCTCTTAGAATGGAAGAGTTATGTTCTCTGTGACATTATATTGCCACATTAAGGGCATAATGCCGGATCCTTGGAAATGATACTGTTTGGAGGACTTACCGACAGTGTCTGTGAATGCGTCGGGAGGCATGGACAAATACAACTGCATTGCAGGAGCAATTTGTATCTGCATCTTTAGGAGAGACAGCACCTCTGCTTGCATGTATAAAGAAGATGCATTGAAGATCTGTATTTCATCTGTTGAATGACAATTTTTGACCAAAATTAGCATGTCAGTTTGGGAAGCTGAGTAAATAAAGTCATCTGGAAGATGTTTTTAGATGCTGTTGTTAACCTTACCTGAATAGTAATAACCTTGAATTACAACTCCATCCTTTGTGACTGTCCCATCACTATTGAACACAAATCTGCCGCCTGAAACAGACTAATATTTAAAACCCTTCGTTAGCTCAGCATAGCTTTAATGTGCTCCATGGAACTGAATTTTCATGCCACTAAAAACATGTTGAGTTCTGTAGCATAGATTTATGAATATCTTTAAAGCCTTTCTTACACTATGCTTCGTGCTTCCCATATCAGTCCTGGAAAGGAACGCTTGTCATCAATTTACAGACAAGGAAACTGAAACCAAGATGGTTACCCTTTGTAAGTACCAACACCTAGGCAGGCATGAGCCCTTTAAAGTCCCAATGAACACCTAATGGAAAACCATGGTTAGCCTGTCATTCACACACAAGTATTTATACTCACTGTGGGCATATTTTAGGATCTTGGCTCTTTCTAACTTTTCTAGAAATAAAATTGTTTTTCTGACATCTTATTCATAGACTTAATTCATATAGCAAGTCATTATTCTCCCGAATTCAGACTTATTGTGCACATTTGTGTGGGAGGTAATGAAAGGCATAGAGCACAGACTGTACCATGTGTCTTCCTAAATTGCCACACACCTTGTTCTTTTGAGACATAGCCTCTCACTGAATCTGAAGCTTCTCCATTTGTCAAGACTGGCTCATCAGCAAGTCCCAGAGCTCTGCTCTGTCTTTCCCTCCCCTATTCTGGAATTACAGACCATGTAGCCAGGTTGAACATTCTGTTTTCTCACATGGTGCTAGGGATGAAACCCATGAAAAGTATCAACTGAACCATCTCTCGTGT